CTTTTATAGGTAGGGCACAATGTAGGAATTCTTTTATCAATTCATATGTTACTGTAGGCACACTGGTGTCTCTTTTAGCCTTTGTCTCTTATATTAGTCTTTTATAACAGGTTTAACTGTACTTAAAGACTCCCAAGATGCCTCCCGCATGTGCAAACACACTTGCACAACTACGTGTGCTGTTGAAAAAGATTTTTACATGCTTCGCCTGCAAGAACAAGGGCGTAATGTCCAAATTTAATGGTTCCCAGGACATATGGCTATACCAGGAAATGAGCGCGCGCTGTTAATAGCCGCAAACGCGTAATGCACATTTAAAAAGGGAAAAAAAGAGGCACGATGCATGGCACGTGGACCTTGGGTTCTTTCATTGGAAAAAAACTCAGGTGTTTGGACGTGCATCTCGAAGCTCTTCAGAGGTATTGTCCTTGTAGCCAGTTTATTCTTATTACGACATTTTGAGATTTTATAGGATCACTGACGAGTGCATGCCATGCTATCGTTCCAGCTGAAACCACCTGAATACACATTGTGCAACTCACTAGAAGAAACTGAATATAAAGTGACAGCTGTGACGCTGTGGATGCAATAATCCAAGCACAACCAAGCAGGGGAATGAGCAAAAATATCACAAAATCTTCTCAGAATGCACAGAAAACAAATAGTGTCCATTTGGCACACGTAGGCTACGAAACGGATGAACCATTAACAAGCTGTTTTTTGTTTGCGCCACTTCAAATCATCGCACATTTGGAACGCAGTTTCCACACGTACGCTGCAAAAGTTCCTCAAACACTTTGCATATAGTAGCAGTAGTTGTGCGGATAAACTTATTCAATATTAAACATATACGCTTTAAAACTGTTCACAGTAAAAAAACTATGTGTACATTTAAACGAGTTGTTTGCATATTGGATATAAATGCTGCAGCTCAACATGAGCATGCCAAGCATTGAAACCCCCGAAAGTTTGTAAAATATGCAACTATGCATAACAAGTCCATTCAGTGGTGAGCTGAAAAATTATTTTAGAGCTTTCCATAGGTGGCACCGGTTGAGTCCTAATGACCCCATAGAAAGCACCTCAATGGTAGGTTTTTCATAATTCTTAAACAGTTCTTGAAGTTCTTCAGTTTCCCTTTGTTGTTTTTGTCCATTGCTGCCATCTCTTCGCAATCTCCAACACATTCGATTTATCTAACCCTTCTTCAAATGTCTATACTCGTCAGCAGCATGCACAGCTGCGAGAGCTTTACAGACCTGAACGTTTCTCAATTCCTTTCACATGCACCCTCGCTGCTGAACCTAAGAGCCCTGTGGCCAAGAAATCTCTCAGCAGAATTTGCAGCCCCTGCAACACTCGGGCACAGCTAAGCCACATCATCGACACTGCCCGCTTGACTCGGACCACAGACATTAACCCTTTGCGGGCCCGTTGTCGGGTAGCGCCGGACAAACTAAGACAGTTGTAGCGGTCTGCTGTTACGCACCACTCGACAGGAGTGTTCGTGGTTTTATTTTCGCGGTTTCCTCATTGCAATTCGTGCTCATTTTCTCAAACACATGAAGCACCATATCTTGAGAAATAAGTGAGCTTTGTTGAGGTTTACTTTTTTTGCGCTAGGGTGCAGAACTATGTTCAGCACAGAGCCCAGAACGTACTTCCTCGCACCCGGTTCGCTGAAAAGCCTGGCCACGTTTTCACCGCATACATTTTAACGTGGTGCTTTTAGCAAAAGCTTTAGCCAGGAAGAGTATTACACGTCTCCACCAGAGAGTCATAACAGTGATTCAAAAGGAGCGAGTGCCGTAGGCTACGATGACGGCGGGGAGTCTACACAGAAAACATGGGTTAGCCATGCGCATCATTACTGAGTGAGCTATGCATTGCCGCAAGACGAAAATGTGGTGAAAGCTTTTTCTCTGGCTTCAGGAGGTTTTTATAGTGAACAGTGTCATTTTCAGGTGCATACAGCTGCGGAATCATGGGCAGAATGAACAGCAACACCTGCAGTACCTGAGGGCAGGAGCCTGAAAGCGAGATTTGTCTGCAAGGAAACGGTGCAAACAAAGACTAGATGGAAGGAGCCATTACATCTACAAGCTCCAAGGTCAAAGCCGCAAGGACTGTGCCATTTGTAGCGATAGGCAAACAAAAAGAGGTAGGAGAGAAACTGTGTTTTTATGCGAAATCTACAGCAACAACCCTAGCCTGCACCCAGGAGAATGCTTTTAGGGTATCATACGCCACCCAAATATCGCTAAAGGAGTTCCCTGTAGAATTCAGGAGCAAATATACCGTATACAAACGTGTAAGGGCCACACCCGTGTAAGGGCCGCATCCCATTTTTAAGAAGCACATATTAAAAAAAAAGTTGTGTGTAAGGGCCGCATCCGCACTTTCCTTGACCCATGCGTATTCAAAATGCGCGCACGTGTGTGAGCTACTAGGCATTATCAGTAGATGGCGCTAGAGAACGCAATTCTCATCATCACTATATAGTACATCATTAGAATAATTTGTTGGTTTTCTTCATGCTAATATGTTCATGAAGTTGGCTAAAAATTTTAAGTTTTTTCAGTAGTGTTCATACACCCGCCAACTAAAGGTTAAAGCGGGATTTTATCTTTAACTTCTGACACTTCTATACAAACGCGCTATCCATATCGGCATTAGCATCACCAACTTTGGTATTTGTGCGTTGTTCGGTCATTGTGTTGTTCAGCCTGCCATGTGCTCGAGTTTTGCGCACCGTTGAATGACTCTGGAACTCTAGCTAGTTTTCTGCGGGACGTTTACGTTTTGGCACGATGGGCAAGCAGCTGAATAGCTATACAGCTGGCTATAAGTTGAAGGTGATCGAGTTTGCCCTCGAGCACGGGAAACGGGCCACCGGCAGAAAATTCGACGTTGACGAGAAGTGTGTTCGACGTTGGTGCGCCCAGAAGAAAGCCTTGCAGAACACCAATATCAAAAAGCGCGCTTTCCGAGGAAAACAGTGCAAGTATCCTTATTTGGAAGAGGAGTTGCTCTGCTATGTGACTGAGGTGCGGAACGATGGTTTCGCGCTCACTACAGACATGCTGCGCATGAAGGCACTAGCCTTGGCACGTGCGAAAATTATACCGGCCGGGGATTTCAAGGCTAGTGCTGGCTGGGTGCGAAGGTTTCTGAAAAGAAAGGGACACTCTCTTCGGCGAAGGACCACGCTGTGCCAGCGGCTGCCAGAAGACTATACCGACAAGGTGCTTAGTTTTCACAAGCATGTCATCGGCCTGTGCCATCAGCACAGTTATTTGTTGTCGCAAGTAGCGAACGCTGATCAAACTCCTGTGTGGTTTGACTCTCCTGAGAACTACACAGTCGAAGTAAAAGGCAAGAAGAGTGTCGCCGTGCGGACCACCGGCGCTGAGCGCCAACGCTGCACCGTGATGCTTTGTGTGACCGCAGACGGGCGAAAGCTACCCCCGTACGTTGTTTTGCAAAGAAAAGGAATTCCCAACGAAGTTTTCCCCGAGGGCATCATAGTTAAAACCCAAGAGAAGGGCTGGATGAATGATGATTTGGTGCTAGACTGGGTGAAAAGTGTTTGGCAGAACAGACCGGGAGCTTTGTTGGCCGAACATTCACTTTTAGTATTGGATAGTTTCCGCGGCCACCTTACCGATAAGGTGAAGGAGCAGCTGCGCCGTGTCGGCACAGACATGGCCGTGATTCCAGGTGGCCTCACAGGAATGTTGCAACCATTGGATGTGAGCGTGTATCGACCATTCAAAGTTGAATTCCGAAGACTCTACACGGAATGGATGGCAACCGGCAACCATGAGCAGACGCCGACCGGACGGCTGAAGAGGGCACCGCTTGCTACTGTTCTCGGTTGGGTATTGTCGGCGTGGAGCTCGGTGTCGACAGACATTGTGTCCCGAAGTTTTAAGGTCACTGGGATATCCAACAGCCTGGATGGCACCGAAGATGACTGTTGTGGAATGATGGTGCTCCGCAACACACTATCTCGGACTCCGAGTTAGAGGACTCGTCGAGTGACGACAATTAAGTGCACACGCGGCATACTGCAATAAACGCTCTTCGTTCACTAACTGGTACGTTGTTTTTAGTTCACCAAAAAAAAGTTCCGTGTATGGGCCGCAACCTGAAAATTAGCCCTCACTTCCTGAAAAAAAAAAGTGCGGCCCTTACACGCGTTTATACGGTAACTATCCTGAGAGTTTTTATTTCAGAGTGCGTTTTTCTTCGCGGCGCCAGACACTGGCGAAATACTTTTAGATCGGTAGAGCCGGAAAGTGGGTAAAAGTTTTGGACAGCAAAGGGTTTAGCCATTGCCTCAATCCCCTTCAATGACGACGTCTGCTTTCCAGGACTGGTTACTGCCTAGTACACCATTGCTATGGCTACTGCTAAGCTATAACAATCACTACAGAAATGGCCGAACGACTACCAAAGCTTCAGCCCTTTGCATGAGGCTTCATATTGGGTGCGATGGCCAGAGCGAAAAATTGTCAAACGTTATCCTGCCTCTCAATTTTACTGTGCACTCTCCGCTCGTTTTCTCTCTCCCATCACTCTGTTGATAATTTACAGCAGTCCCCCGAGAGCAAAGACATGACTAAAGACAGGCCAACAACTTCCCCTTGTGCAAACATTTTGTAGAGTGATGCCAAATCCTATACTAAAAAAGTGAGCTGCTAGGCTAATAAGGGCACTTGCTAGATTGATTTGGTAGCTATTCATTGTTACGTTCCTGCGCACTGCTTGAAAGAGGAACACTTCAGATGAAGGACTAGACAGACACAAGTGCAATGCGCTCACCTTCGTCCAATCCTTCTTCTGAAGCGTTCGTCTTTCAAGCAGTGCTCAATCACGTAACAATGCTAGGTTAACTTGGCATACCATTTCAAATTGTACCTGTAGCATTCACTGCTTTACCCATACAGTGAAACTGACTCTTTTTAATTTATGAAATGGAAAATGCAGAGACATACCTGGAGAAGCACCTTGTGGCTCTGTTTGTGTAGCACTTGTTGACAGAAGCTTTTTTTCATCTGCTTGTGATGCTTCTTCATGGCGAGTGGGTAGCCGCACTTGAACGGATTTATTGGTGACACGGCCAAGCTCACATGCTGGCTCTGTTGATGTTGCTACGGGTTTTCCCGACTCAGGAGCCAGGCCCCATGCTTCATCACGTACTGGCTCTGTAGCAATGTCATCCTAAAATAAATTGGCCAGTAATGTTACGAGTGATCATGCCGACGGTTATTGCCTTGTAATACAATGAAAGCAATCCTACACTATCTGTTTTGCAACAATGGCTTGATCCTGATGTGTGCCTAATGGTTGTGTCTCTAGATAGCAACTGTCTAAGAAGCTGCGACAGTTTATAAAAATATAAATTACCAATCCATAAATGAGGAAGTCATGGTAATAACTAAAACAGAACGATATGATAAGAACTAAAATGGATATTCTCCAGAAATGTTTAAACAATTTAGTGATACCACTTATACGACTGAAATTGCATGGTTTAGGTTTTTCAGAAACTTTGCCTTTCGCAATTGCCATCAATGCTGCTCATACTTACACATTACTCGCGCTTTATTTTTTTGAGCACCTGATGAATTTGAAAACATCGCGCTTGTGTCATCCAACTTTAAGCCTTTGTGCGCAAGCGTGAATTTTTTCCCACCTGCCAATAGCATCAGTCGCTGGGACACAACGTTTTAGTGAAGAAGTGCGCAGAGGTCTCGTCGGTTTTTCATTGCAAGCAAAATGACGGAGTGACTGGAGCAGCACTACTGCATCAAAATTTGCCAAAAACTGGGCGACAGCCAAGTAAAAACCAATCGAAAAATCAAGACGGCTTTCAGTGACAACGCTATGAGCCGTAGCCAGATTAAGAAATGCTCCAACCAGTTTAAAGCTGGCCGCACATCGGTGGAGAATAAGCCACTCTCCGGTCGGCCACTAATATGCCGAGGCGACCTGGTCATTGCCGAAGTAGACACTGTGGTGATGTGGGACCGTCGTGTGAATGTCTAGGAAAATGGGAAAGAAATGGGCATGAGTGCCTTCTCTGCACATTCCATTGTGACCGTGAAGATTTGCCCATGATGAGAGTAGCAGAAAAATTCGTACCGTAACTGCTCACGGAGGAACAAAAGCAACTGCCTGTTGAAGTCTCACAGGACATGCTGTATTTCACAAGCAGTGACCCTAACTTCATGAACACCATTATCAATGATGACTAGTTTTGGGTGTACAGGTACAACCCAGAATTCAAATCCCAGTCGTCCCGGTGAAAGCATTTCACGTAAGCGCCTTAAGACCAAAGAAGGTCCACCAAGTGCACAGTAACGTGAAAGTGGTGCCGAGTGGTTTTTTTTACTCCCGCAGTGTGGTACACCACGAGTACGCACCAAAAAGTCAAACAATCATCTAAGAGCACTACAGGGATGTCCTCGCTCGTCCATGTTATGCTGCGAGGCACAAGAAACCTGAGTTGTGGTTAACAGGAAACTGGTGAATCTACCACGACAATGCTCCTGCACATTCCTCCCACTTGGTTCAGACTTTGTAGAAAAAAAGCCAGACTCCTGTAGTTAAACAGGCTCTATATTCTCCTGATATGGCAACTTGCGACTTCTGTCTGTTTCTCAAACTCATGAGGACATTGAAATAGAGCCCTTTCAGACAAAGGGCATTATGGCTGCAACAACAACAGCGCTAAACTCTATTCAGACAGAGGCCTTCTCAGAATGCTTCCAACAATGGCAGCACAGCTGCAAGAAGTGTGTGGAGTCCCAAGGGGACTACTTTGAGGGGGATTAAGTTTCCAATTCTGTAATTATGTCAGTTCTTTTTCTTTCATCAAAGCTCTGATACTTTTCTAACAGACATAGTCTATTTAATGTACGTGGATTCGGAATGATTATTAGAATGTTATCAGATACTGAAAATGCTTGTGTGAATCCACATGTGCACGACGCGCACTGAAATGGCGATGATACACTAGAATATTCTAACATGCGGTAATTCTACAAGCGAGCTAGAGTTGACAATATCTTGGCCTCGCATGTCGTTTCACAACCACTCTGTAGTAACAAATGTGTCGTCATCATACTTTCATTTTTATTGCAGTGTAATTTTACTACTGCTTCCACAAAGCTGAGTGAGAGCGTAATTAGTTGTCATGTACTATGCTAGTAGTACAAAGCTCTTACTCAAAGCACATTTTACAGGCCAATGTATAGAAACTTCAGTCAGTAAAAGCCTAAGAAACAGTGCCAGCTACACTTTCAACCATTGCTGCTCCTCCAAGGGCAAATTTACATAAAGATTCTACGGCTCTTACTTCTTTATCTGACGTCAAGCACTTCTTCAGTGCTTCAAGCTATTGACATTCCTATACAGATGCACATTTCTGTGAGTGGTTTTACATTGGAAACTTCAATATCTGCTAAATTGTTGCAAAATGGAGAACACGACAAAAAGACGCGTCCTGCACAAATGATTCTTGAAAACCATGCATTAGACCCCAAGTTCACGCACCAAGCGAGAAAGACAATGCATGCCGTGGCCAAAAGCTTAGAGAATAGTTGTGCTTCGTATTCAATGCTAGAAGGTGACAGCCCAATCGTGCCCTGCGTCCATTGTCTTATCAATTGTTAGCCTAGCTTCGTTTCTTGGTGAATGCCTCAACCATGCCGAATCAAATAAATGTTTGTGCAATTTACATCGGTAATTTAAAGCTAACCTGGAATGCCTCCTGCAAGTACAGCAGCACAGTGTCCCCTACCTTAGAATCACTCTTATTGTGAATCAGTGAGGCGCCCCAACTCATCTGTAAGGCAACCGAAGAGCTTGCGCAGCTGCTCACTTAGTTAATGATGATGATTAGCTATGGCTGAGCACTTTGTAATGGGTGACCCTTTGAAACACCCACTCAACGCATAATTCATGAGCTTCGATGCCTGGCAAGATTCCATGCTTCTTTCACAAAATATAAAATGCCTACAATATAACATGAAGGAATGCCTTCTACTACATGGCACACATAGTTTCTTTTTTTTTCTCTTAGGTAGCTTCCAGCAATCGCGTGGCTCTGGGGTAAAACACCTGCTTGTCACGCAAAAGATCTGTGTTCAATTGTCACTGATAATGATGATCTTTATTTTCTTTGCATCTTTCTCAATTTTGTGGTCATAAACAATGGTTTTCTTTTGTTGTTCACAACCAATGAGGTCGACAGCAGAATTTCTGTGAAATGGCCTTTTTAACATTATTGACACCAGGTATATTTTTTAACGCAAAACATTACTAGAGCATATGGTAAATTCAAAAGAGACTTCTAGTACCTCTGCACCCTTGTGTTACACAACTTCACTGGTGATCCGCTGTCACATGGTGAATTGGCTCAATAAGTTTTTACTGTATAGCAATTGTGGACACTTCCGATGGGTTTTTGCCGTGACCGTAATGTTCCGTACAATAGTTTAACGAGATGCAGAAATAAATTCTAGATTGGGCATGGGCATAGGGGAGCGCTATACACAGTAGACTCCTATTCTCCCTCCACAACCGCACCCTTCCCTTTTCGCATAAACAAAGCCTTTCTCCTCCTCGAAACCAATAACATAGCTCTGCTAAGAGTATTTCTACCCGAGGGTAAGAGTGCATGAGCGGAGGCGACGAACGCAACTTAAGCAGAGATGAAACAAGCCGGCCGATAGACATCAGACTCTGCCCAGGAGGCGCTGCAAAAAACGCTGCCACCATCGCCCCCATCAATGCGCCGGCCATAGTTAGGTAGTGCAAAGGGAGCCGTCCGCAAGCGAACGTGCATAGGCCCTCCTCTTTTGTTGGTCTTGAGGTGCGGTTTTCTTAAAATCAAGGACCTTGCAAGCTTCTTCCTTAAATTGAACCCCACTTCAGAAAAGTAGAAAGTTCATCAAAACAACCTTCGGGTACAATGCGAGAGATGTTCAAGTTATTTCGCTGTATATACGGCAACTGGCACTTTAAGAGCAAGCGAGCATCGCAGGGCATCGAGTTCGAGCAAAGCAGTACGACCCTCATTCTATCATGCCCAAAAGCGTTAAATTAGGCATACACACGATGTCAAAGTGATGAAGTGCATACAAGAGCAATCTATCTTACGATCAATGATACGAAGCTCGCTTTCTCTGGCACGATAGAGTTAATATAAAGGGTCTGTACATTGTCACGATGAATCACAAGTACTGGGGGTTTATTAAACTATGGGGGTTTATTAAACTTTCGAGTAGCTAGCTCTGGGACGATGCATCAGTCGTGCCTGGCTCTCGAGTCTAGAAGAAACACGCGATTTTCTTTTTCCCTCCAGATTGAGAGCTGCTCTTGCAGTCGACCCACTACGTGTGGGTGGCATTATCCCCCTTTTAGAAAAAAAAAGTCCCAAAAGAGGGAAAGAAAAGTACATAGCACCACCCTGATGTTATCACATAGGAACGTGAAAAAAAAAAATCGGAAATTTGGATAAAGTAAAAGTAGAAACTAAAGAGCATGCCCATATAAAAAAATCAATTAACAAAGAAGCAAGATCACAAAAATAAATAAATAACACAAAGAGCAATGTATGGCCAAAAAAAAGTTACGAACCACACGCAATAAGTGGTTTTACGCGCAATACATGAACGACGTCCGGCCTCGGCCGTGTCCTGCTTCGTGCCTGCAATGTTGAGTCCGGAACCACTTCGTAGTTCACGTCACTGACGCGACGTAAGACTTGAAAAGGGCCAAAATACCGGCTCCGTAACTTGCGGTGGACGGGCATCCAGACCCAAACTTGGTCTCCGGGGTTGTAAAACACTTCTCTGTGGCGGGAGTTACAGGGCCGTGCGTATGCCTGCTGTTGCTGGCTGATGTGTAGTCGAACGAGCTGCCGGGCTTCCTCAGCGCGCTCTGCGAATTCTTCAGCGTCAGTTGCCAACTCGTGTTCGTCTTGACACGATAGCATAGAGTCCAGCATGGTCTGCACTTTGCGGCCGTAAAGAAACAGAAATGGCGTGAATTGCGTGGTCCCTCGCACGGCTGTATTACAGGCGAAGGTCACGTAAGGTAAGATTCGGTCCCATGCTTTGTGCTGTAGGTCGATGTACATTGAGATCATGTCTGCGATGGTCTTATTCAGTCACTCAGTAAGTTCGTTGATTTGCGGGTGGTACGCAGTTGTC